ATGGAAAAACGTAATTTTCTGGACTTTTGACATACATTAGACCTTAGGAAGCTAAGGAGGAGTTGGAGGAGCAAAAGCACAGGGATTTCATCATTCCTTCCTCACTCAAGACCCGAGTTTGGATTGAATTTATGTTTTCCTATCTTTTTATCATATTTGTGATGAATCATTCCACGCCTAAGGGGTATTTCCCTTTAGGGTTTGATGGATTTGTGTATTGATATTTTCTTGTGGACTATAACTCTAGTTTTATGTATTGAAATGTTTTTGGATGATTTAATTGTTGCATCTATATTCACTTGTTCATGTAATCGAGAGAGGCATAACTTGTGATATCTTGCATTTTGTTGTGGGTTGAGTTCATTAATTCTTCTTAGTAATTGAAATAGGCTAGTTGAATCGTTGATCAAACCTTGTTAGGAGGATAATCGAGAGAGGTCCTCCTAAGGACCAATCTACTACGCATTCTTGCATATCTTCACAAGCTTAAATTAGTTCATCTTGTGAGGTTGAGACTTAATCGAGAGAGGAATTTCTATTAAACGTTTGAACTAATAATTGAGTGAATTTGAGATACTCACTTGACCATTAGAAGTGAATTATCTAGAGTTAGATCCCAAACGATTATCTTGCACCTATCATATCAAAACCCTATCTTCTCCCATTGATAACCTTCTTTGCTTGTTCCTTATTTCGATTGTCACTAGTCAATAGCTTTAGATTCTTAGTTAATTTTAGTATTAATCACATAAACCATCAACTGTCGATCATCTTGAATAGTAATCAAGCTAGAAACTACGATAATATTATTTAACTCCAATCCCTGTGGATACGATATTATACTATACTATATTGGATTAGCGAGCATAATTTAAGTCTTTGTTTCGAGCTCGTCATCAAACTGTATAACTTGACTTACTTATTCATGTATATCTTCTCAATATGTAACTGTCGATGATTTGTTGGTTCTAGGCGCATAGCTTCTCTAGATGTTGGGCTGTTAAATAATTGAAGGTTATCATATGTGTATCTTCTTTATCAGAAGTGCTATTTTGTTTACAATGCTTGCGCATATCTTCTCTATGTGCACCAATGGCCTTACTTGTACATCATGCTTAGATTTTAATATTATTGTTGTGTACATGTTTATGCTATTGAGCTGCATAGGTTAAGTAAAAAGAGTATCTTATGATTTTAAAACATCATCACTACTTCACCAAGGTTAGTCTTAGTACTCATCGAGTATATTGTGCTCATACTTTTGCACCTTACCTGCAGATTTTGGAGTTGAGCTGTTGTGGATGATAAGGCTAGCATTGAACATGCACCAGCATTCCAGATATAAATTACCACATAATCATGGTAGATTAGGATTTGTACTTATATTTATGTATATTCAAAAATATTTTGTATTTTCTTCGTAACGGTGTTGTAAATCTAAATCTTAGTACTCCGTGACTTGTACTATCAGTCCTTGGGGTAGTTGTATGAATTTGTTTTCCATATTATTTATTGTTTATTAATGATCTTTTATTTCAGTTGTGTTTTTAATTGTTTGTCTTACCTAGCATGTTGGGGTTAGGCACCATCACGACTAGAAAAAATTTTTGATCGTGACAAGTTGGTATCAGAGCTCTAGATAGGTTCTACATGTTATGAGCAAGTGTCTAGTAGATTCTTGAGGATCAATATGATGACGTAGTTGCTTCTCCCCAACAGTCTGCTTCAAGGAGGTCCAAAACAATTGATGAAGGGTCCCAAAAAAGTGAAACACCACTATCGACTGTCTTTGTTGTACCTTGATGTGTTAACTGATCCGCCACTAAATTTTGCTCCCTGTAATCCAGCTGGTGGATGACTGGGTAATTCAGCTGGTGGATGAAGGACCATAGTGCATAATACCTAAATTAACACCTCTACGTACATAAGTTTTTAAAATTATTCCTCTAACTTTATGAATTTTCAGTTCGGAAATTTTAGTTGTCATATGACATGTTTTAAATATCTTTGATTGTTGATCAAATTTATGTTCTTTACAAAATGTTTAAGTATGAGTTCTCATTAGAGGTGTGCATTCGAATCGGTTTATCGATAAATCGAATCGATTATTTGTTATCAGTTTATCGATTTATCGATTTCGATTTTGATTTCGAGATTTTCCTTATCGAGTTATCGATTTCGATTTCGATTTTGTCTCTTAGATACTAAAAAGACAAATTTTTTTTTTTTTACTCTTATTCTATAATAACCTTTCCTTTACCCTAAGTCCCTAACCCTATTATTTCCTCTACCACATTTAAGGAATGATCATATTTAAAGCTCAAGGGAATGAAGTTCAAATTAATGGAAAACAGAATTAGCCGTGATGATGTATTTTATTTTTTTTATTTTTTATTTTTATACCGTTGGAGTGTTGGTGGCATACATTTGATCCCTTTCTTTAGTTTCGTTGCATGTTCTTGTTGACACATTTTTATGTTATAAACGGTGTTCGTCTTATTTTAGCTTCTTTTTGTCCATATTAGTTAGGCGTGTTTATAGCGATATACTTTCCGTGGAATCCCGCAAATTTTCTTATTGGTGTAATTGATAACAGAATCGATAAGCCCCAAAAATCGATAAATCAAAATCGAAAAAATCGAAACCTTATTGAAACGATAACGATAAGCATATGTACAAATCGATAATCGATAAGTAATTATCGATAAGGGTCAAAATCGAATCGATAAATCGAATGCATACCCCTAGTTCTCATTGAAAAAATTACACAGTTCCCGCTAAATACAGTACAACTAGAGTTTGTTAAATAATTGATAGAGACTTTAAGGTGCTCATTTTGATAAATTTAGATGACCAAAAACTGCTCAAAGAATATTATAAGGACTAATCTAAACCTACTCCAAACCTAAGGGATGTTTTTGTCATTTTATCTTAGAAAAACTTTTCAACTTTTTTTTCTCATAGGCGCATTTAGCTAATTAAACTTTTTCCTTTTTCCATAGAAATTTACACTAGATATGTACCCGTGCGATGCACAGGCCCAATTGTTACTTTTTTTTTTCTTTCTTCTTCTTGTTTTCATCCTTTTAATATTTCTTGGTCTATTGTTAATTACACACTTTCTACGCCTTTAGGAAAAGAAGAAAGAGAATAGGCTTTTGTGTAATAACGTATAGAACGACGATTACATGTATTGTTATTTATCTTTTGCATTATATGCATTTTAATTTTTCTGAAATCTTATTACTATACCAATCACTTTGAAACACTTATCGAGTCTAATGCTTTATTATACGGTGATTAGATAATAATTCAAGTAGAATTTAAATTATTTCTACATAGGGCCTTTTTTATTTTAGAAAATTTTGCATCACTAAGCCTTAAATTAATTATTGTTAAATACTAATTAAAAAGTCAGTTGAAAAATAAGTCGTCATGTATTTTTCACATTTTTTTGATTGAATGATATATAGTTTTATTCTTTTATTATTTTCAGTGTGTTAATGTATCATTTTTTTCTTTTTTTACTAATCAAAATTTAAATAATAAAAATATTAATATTATTCCCAAATAATTGATGAAAAGGTTTTTTTTGGTTCTTTGAAATAGTAATCATGATTTTTAATTATTAAGAATTTTAACAAGAAAATTTGTATTTTGTTCTAGTTGAATGACATAATATTATAAATAAATTAATATCTCGATCACTCTAAATACTAATCAAATTGACCGTAAATTAAAATATTGCAATTTTTTCTAGTTTCATTTGATATGATTGAGATACTATCTAGGGTATAATGCGATTTTCATCACAATAGTAGTATTTGTTGAGACTATTTTAAAAATAATTAATTGTATATTTATGCATTTTGAAATGTATATAATGTTGAATTCTTATTGAATAGAGTTTGTACTCAACTAACTTCGATCATAGAGGGAGAAGTATAATCATGTATGACGATACTTCTCATACTTCCTATTATATAACGATTTTTAAAAGAAAAGAATTTCACAAATTAATCTTAATTTTTACTTCAGATATTCTCAACTCATATTTTAGAGAGGGGATACTTATTATACAATTTGGACAAATTTTTTATATTCTATAATAATAAGGCGGACTTGAAACTATATTTTATTCTTAAATAATTTTTTTCCGAATTTTATGAAGTATTCCAATTGAAATTGCAATTTAATGAGAACTTTGTATAAATGATACAAATTGATAATGATATAATAATATTTGAATGTAAATCTACATACATTATCACTAATTCTTGTTTAAAGAAATCTTCTTTACCTGGAATAGTTAATAATAAAATATATTTCTTAAGGAGATAATAGAATTGTCATATATAAATGTATGTGACCTTAGTATTTTTAATCAGGTGAACATTTGAATTATAAAATTATTAAAAAAATAATTTTTCTAGTTAAAAGTACTTATTGAAAAAATAATAATAACAATCAAGTAATGCATTTGATGAAGATAGTGAAGGTTGAATGGAAAGTGAGTTCCACTATTTAAAAGCTTATGGACACGCTAGTTTTGGTTTTTCCTGTTATTAAGAACCTACAACCAAACTTTTGAGCCTAGTATACAAACAAACAATGCGCTAATATATTTAAAATGACCATTTCCACTATTTAAAAGCTTATGGGCACGCTAATTTTGGTTTTTCCTGTTATTAAGAACCCACAACCAAACTTTTGAGCCTAGTATACAAACAAACAATGCGCTAATATATTTAAAATGACCATTACGCCCTTGGTCAACCTCCTCTTCTCTCTTCTATATAATATATAATATATAATTATTATATATTATATAATTATAATATATAATATAATATTATATTATATTAAATAAAATATAATAGATATTGGACCGGCTAAAATTGGGTGAACCGGACACTGGAATCTTCTGGAACTAGAAGAAAGAACCGCCATCTTAGTGGGTCAACAATTTCTTAATGCCCAAGCCAACTTTTTAACGCAACCTATATAAAGTCCCTGGTTCTAACTTGGACACCATCAAATTTATTAGCAATTGATTGTAAATCCGAGTTCAGACTCTAAGCTTACGTTCCCATATATCGCAGACCGATAGGAAATCTTTAAATCTTTGAACTGACCATTGGTATTGGTGAAGTTTTGGTCGTTTTCTCATGGTAATCCTCTATTTATTTTACTTCGCTTAAGAATTTTGTTTCGTTTGATATAGGAGCATGTTGTTCTTTGCCGCTTAGGTTAATACACCCTTTGCTCTTTTCCATATCCACGTTATGTTTTCAGAATTCATGTTTTTTGGCATGATAAAGTAAATGCTTTTCAAATTTTTAAGTTAAGAAATTTTGTGGTAAGGCTTTTTGTATGCAATTATTATTTTTTTATTGGTTATTATCTCTGCTTTTCTTTCTCTGCATATAGTTTTAATTGCATAATTGAACCTCAAAACTATTATGTTTTCCACCTCAATTTTTTGTTGATTAAAAGTTAAAGGGATGTTCTTGAGCTAGCATACATACACCTGTTTAAGCGCTAAAGATCTCTGTTTTTAAATATAAAAAAACAGAAGGAACTGGATATTTTGTGTATTATTCTTGTTAAACATATTTGTAGTAGAAAACAATGTGTCCATATAATTACTCTACTCTTGGTTTTTCATGAACGTGTTTCTGCTTTGTTTTCATGGTTTCTGTTTTCAGGCATCTCCGATAGTAGTGGGAACTACAGTTGGAGCTGCTGCTTTGGGAGCTAGGTACTTGATAAGAGCATGGCAAACATTCAAAGCTGCACCTCGAGTTCGGAGGTTTTATCCCGGTGGGTTTGAACAAGTTATGACAAGAAGGGAAGCAGCATTAATTCTTGGGGTCAGGTATATATAAATCTGGTATTCTGTTTTGTGATGCCAAAGTGTGTCTCTTTTTTGCTCTATTCTTGGGGTATCAACCTGAACCTCGTACACTCGCAACCTGAACAATAGCTTAGTTATAAATCTGACGGAACAAATGTCCCCTTTAGATTGCTAACTTCTTTCTGGTTATGTTAGGAGCTAGGTTATCACTTTCAGAATGTATATTATGCATAGTCCTTTAGGCCTTAGGTTAGCAGAATTGATGGTCAATTTGCTCATCAATAGGCAGATTGTTGCGCCTGGCATACTTTTTGTTTGAGCTTGCCAATCAAACTTGACCATGGATAAAATTGCTTCATGTCCAATATATGGTGTCTTTTCCTTGCAGAGAAAGTGCTGTCCTGGAGAAGATAAAGGAGGCTCACAGGAGAGTAATGGTAGCAAATCATCCGGACGCCGGTGGTAGCCATTATATTGCTTCCAAAATCAATGAAGCTAAGGAGATCTTGTTAGGGAAAACCAAGGGAGCTAATTCCGCTTTCTAATTCACTTTAACAGCTTCATTGTCAGTATGCGTGTTGATTTGAGGAAGAGGTGAATTTGTATCAGTAAATGTATTACTATCATAATTTACCAAAGTAAATTCTTTTTAATGTAATTTAGGAGAGTTCTTTGCGGTAAAGAGTTGTACTATCCTGTTTCCTTTCCCATTTTGAACCAGGGATCTGCACGGAATATATGAACACCTCTCTTGAACTATATATACCAGTAGTCTAACTTTTTCAGAGAAGTGAGAACTACACTTACAGTCCATACAAACCGGAGTAAAAACTCAGAACAAGATATCAACAAGTAGCATTTTGCATTATATTTCGCGAAATACGTCTGTTCATGGTACATTACAGCAACCGAGCGAACTCCAAAAAAAAATTGGAGAAGCGGCTATTTCACAAGCTACACTAAATACGTAAAAAGAATGAGCAGACATCATGTACAAAGAGAACGCATTTCCTTCGATGAAACAAAGACAAAAGCAAGAAACAAAAAATCCTAATGTTACAAAACGCTCAATTGCGTTAAATAGAAATACAACCCAACCTGGAGGAACCCGACGTGGAGGACTTTCTTCATGTCATCAGTGGAGAATCCAAATCGAAGCAATAGAAAAACTTTAGTTGCCTGAGAAAATAATTCATGACGATATTGGCTCGTACGGATATGATAGCCATGGGTGTTTTAGAGCCTCTAAAGCAGAAGGTCGCTTCTTTGGGTTAACTTCTAAAAGATGAGCCACAAAATCAATAAAACCTTGATCTCCCATCGGTAATCGATACCTCAAGGATGTCTTCTTGGGTATTAAGTATTCCAATCTGTTTGTTTCCTATAAACAGAAAAAAGTGGAATGGTTAAAATATAGTACAAATGAGAGTAGCAGACAGAAGCACAGCAACATCCATGCTTGAAGCAAGTGTACTGAGGGGAGGCAAAGAAGAGGAACTCTCTAAAATAGGAGAACATATTAAATCCTAACTTTTTGACATGTGTATTATATCAAATTTTATTTTATTTTTTGGCTAAAGTTACGTCCTTAATTACGTACAACTCATAGAAAACAAAGGATCTGAAGGGTCTCCAGCAACGATGTTTACAGATGTTTCAGCAAATTATAAATCATAGTCGAAGTTCAACTCAAGGAAATATTTAGTATATAAGGAACTATCAAGACCAAAGGCCTTTCATAGATTAATATATGTTGTCCTCGAGACTATGTGCATGGACTCGAGATGAGTTACATATCCTATAAGGGTGAAAATTATTTATACCTCCATCTTTGCTTTAAAAGTCAAACTTCTCCCTCAACTTTGAACAATAGCCATTCACCCCTCATTTCTCAGTTACCTTTTAAAATGCCTATTTTACCTTTTATATTATCACCGTTTATCTCTCTTTTTCTTTCTTTTTTCTTTTATATCATGATATTTTTCTCTTTTATAATAATATAGAAACGGAGGAGGAACGTCTCTGCTGGACTTTGCTAGAGCTTTTGATTTGGTGATAGCAAACTCAAGTTTTTCGAAGAAGATAGGAGCACCCGGTCGCCCTCCGAAGTTCGGCGACCGAGACTCAGATTGATTATCTACTCTGCAGGAAGTCCGATAGAGGTCTTTGCACGGATTGCAAGGTCATCCCGAGTGAGAACCTCTTAACCCTTCATAGGCTCTTGGTCATGGATCTTGCGATCACAAGGAAGAGGAAGAAGGCGATGTATAGCCAACATAGGATCAAGTGGGGAGCCTTGACGGAAGTTAAAGCGCAGGAGTTGGGGGTCAAGCCGCTGACTATAGGAGTTTGGAGGAGTAGAGGGGACGCAAGCGCTATGTGGACCACGACTGCGCAATGCATTAGGAAGCCGCAAGAGAGGTATTAGGGGTAGGGGTGGGCATAAAATCCGAAAAACCGAATTCCGAACCAGACCGAATTAATTCGGTATTTTGGTTTCGGTTTTTTCGGTATTTCGGTCTAATTCGGTATTACATTTTCGGTATTTCGGCATTACGGTATGGTCCTCGGTATTAGGATCTTGAAATTTCGGTATACCAAAATACCGAATTACCGAATTTTTAAAGACTTTTTATTTTTTTAAGTTGGACCTATAGTTAGCTATACTGCCCAACCCAACACTTTTTAAAGACTTTCTAATCTAATGCCCAGCCCACTGCCCACTCCAGCGCCCCAGCCCAAGCCCAAGCCCACTCTCTAGTCTTTGTCTTTCATTCAATTAGGGATTAGGCATTACTTATTAGGGAATTAAAATTTAGAAAGTCAGAACTCACTCCTCAGAAAGTCAATTAGGGCAAACGGCGTCGGCGTCTCGGCGATAGTTTCAGCTTCAGGCTTTCAATTAGGGCTCAGCTTCAGGCTTTCAATTGGGGCGTTAGTTTCAGAAATTCCGGGCAAACGAAGACCGGCTGCTGTGACTTCAAAGAGATTGGCTGCTGTGACTTCAAGGAATCAAAAATATGTTTCTAGTGTCTTCCATAATTTACTTGAAAGCTTTCTCCTTTTTAAGGTAGAGAAATTGCCTTCTCTTTAGATTATTGGGTATGTGTCTTACTGTCTTTACAAAAAAAGATTTATATTTTTAATCCTTTTTTCTGTAGTTTTTTGTTTTACGAAGAACATGTATATTCTTTTGTGCTGGAACTGTTACAGATTGGATTTTTCTTCAGCTCTCTACCAGTTTTTCTTTGATTACCTTGAAAAAAAATTGGGTAAATGCAAAATAGAAGGTCAGTGAGTCATTTTAATGAATTCATTTGGAGTGGGGTTTTGAACTCCCTTGATTGGATTTCGTATTTATCATCTCAGTCTGCCTCCCTCTTGAGTTTCATTCTTAATGTTTTCATTGTATGTTTAACTTTAAAGTTAAAATAGTTGCTAGAACAAGGCAATCACGTTGTGGGTCCATTTTTCTAAACCTTTTTCGGTCCTTTTGTTCTGTAAGGTTTTCATCAACAGCTTATAGCGTAGATTGCTAAGATATCAATAGGTGTTTATTCTGCTTATTCTGTTCAATTGTGTAGACTTGCTTATTCTGCTGCTTATTTGTAATTGCATAACATTTTGGCTTGCTGCTGCCTCTGTTATTCTGTTAATTGTGTAGACCGATGCCTTGTTAAATGATCCAAATCCATTGATCCATCAAAATTCCAAATACAGTGTTCTTTCTATGGTTGAATCCATACAAATAAATTCTTTACCTTATTTGTATAGATGGCAGATGAAAGTAGAGTAAGTGATGCCGGTTCAAGTGAAAGTTTACCTATTACTGAAGATAGCAACACCAACACCATTGATACTCAAGATTCTAAGAAAAGAAAAGCAATGCAACCTAGATCCAACGTTCGGAATCATTTTTGATAAATTTGAGGTAAATGGGGTTGGTAAAGCAAGGTGTAGATATTGTAAGCAAGCTTATGCTGCTAATTCATCTAGGAATGGAACAACAGGATTGAAAAATCATTTGACTAGATGCAAAAAATACCCACCTAACATTGATAAAGATAATAGTCAAACAAAGATAAATTTTCAATCTTGCCAAAATGATGGAGGATCACTTTGGAAATTTGATCAAGAAGTGGTTAGGAGGGCCTTAATTGAGATGATAGTTATTGATGAACTACCATTTAGCTTTGTAGAAAATGAAGGCTTTATGAAGTTTATGAGAAAAACTCAACCACTATTTCGTCTTCCTTCTCGTAGAACAATAACAAGGGATTGTTATGAAGTTTACGGTGAATTGAAGCAAAATCTAAGATGGTCTTTTAGAGAAGCACAACCAAAAATTTGCCTCACAACAGACACATGGACTTCATTACAAAGAATAAATTATATGTGTTTGACAGCCCACTTCATTGATAGGGATTGGAAGTTGCATAAAAGAATACTAAATTTTTGCCCTATCACTAGTCATAAGGGTGAAGAGATGGCTAAAGCTATTTCAAATTGTTTGCTTGAATGGAAATTAGACAAGGTATTCACTATTACCGTGGACAATGCTTCTTCAAATGATGTCACCGTCAAAGAATTGTCTAAAAAGTTAGATATGTGGAAAACTAATATGATGAGTGGTAAACATCTTCATGTGAGATGCATGGCTCATATACTAAATCTAATTGTGCAAGATGGTTTGAAAGAACTTGATGCTTCTGTCACACGTGTTAGAAATATTATGAGGTATGTGAGATCTTCGCCTGCAAGGACCTTAAAGTTTAAACAGTGTTGTGCACATGTAAAGGTAGAATGTACCAAAACATTGTGTTTGGATGTTCCTACTAGGTGGAATTCCGCCTATTTGATGTTGGATACGGCACAAAATTTTGAAAAGGCCTTTGACAAGTTTCATCTTTTTGATGATGGATTTTCTGCTTATCAATGTTCTAATCTTTGTGAAGATGGTAGTAGTGCAGGTCCTCTTGAATCTGATGATTAGGTGAATGTGAGGAATGTGATAGAGTTTCTTGTAAGATTTCACGAGCTCAACAAAAAAGTTTCAGGTTCACGTTATATCACTTCTAATTCTCATTTTGAGGATGTATTTGAACTTTATTGTCATTTGAAAATGCGTTTAGTTAGTGAGGATGAGCATTTGAGAAAAATGGCTGAGCGGATGCAAGAAAAGTTCAAGAAGTATTGGGGTGAGCCTGAAAAGATGAATAAAATGATTTTTATTGCTTCCGTCTTGGATCCACGTAACAAATTTGAATATGTAGAGGGAGCACCTATTTGGGGAGGAAAAAGGGAAGAAAATAAATGCTGAGGTGTATGCTTATATGAATTCTTTGTTATGGAGAGTATCTAAAAAAGTATTCAACTGGATCTTGTCCTCAATCTCCATCTAGTTCTACTTCATCTAATAACACACATAATACATCTAGTGGGAGTGTTATAACTGCATCATTAATAAGAACGAAGCTTCACTTGAAGAAACAAAAGGAAGACAATGGAAGTGAGGGTGCTAAATCGGAGTTGGATAAATACATTAGTGAAGATTGAAGAACAAGGGCCTTTTAGCGAAGAATTTGATATCTTAAGTTGGTGGAAAACACATGCTCCTAGATTTCCTATTCTTTCGGAGTTGGCTCGTGATGTGTTGGCCATTCCAATTTCTAGTGTGGCGTCGGAATGTGCGTTTAGCACCGGTGGCCGCATTCTTGATTCATTAGGAGTTCATTGACTCCTAAATGTGTGCAAGCTCTTGTTTGTGTTCAAGATTGGCTTAGAGAAGAGAAGAATCCTATTAGTGTTGAAGAAGACTTGAAGTATCTTGAGGAACTCGAACTTGGTAAGCTTTAATATTTTGTGTGTAGTTTAGTTCAAAATAATATATCATACTTGTTTATTTGTATGACATATTTGGTCGAATTATCTTTAGATATGGAAAATAATGGAAGCACTACTAGCATTGTTTGAACTTTGATGTATAGTTGCAACTTGCAACATGAGTGGTAAGTTTAGTACTCTATTTGTTTGGTGATATACTTTTGTAGTTTTATTTTATTATCATCAAAAAATAATATTCTAACTTATGATTTTTATTTTTTTTTAGGTTCAAGTGCAATCATGCCCCGTGCTCCTAAAGCACGCTCTCATATTTGGGAACACTTTGAGGTGAAAGAAGATAACGGAGAAGTTCGCAAAGTAGAATGCAAGCATTGTGGTCGAGTCTATAATGTTCATCCAAAGAGGGATGGAACATTTGGTTTAAGGAGCATATTAGGCGTTGACTTGAGCGTCTTCCTGGAATCCGTATTTAAGAATTAAGACTAAGTTGATTCGAGACTATTAGTGTGAACTTGAATTGAGGGATGCCCTCTCTGTTTTTGTTGTTTTTGTTGCACTGTGTGTTTAATTCTGCTGCTACTGTTAGAGTCTGCTGCTAGCCTGCTACTGTTAATTCTGTTGTTTTTGTTGCACTGCTGCTACTGTTAGAACACTAATTCTGCTACTGATAATTCTACTGCTACTGTTTATTCTCCTATTGCGCTGTGTTTAATTCGGTTGGCCATTTTCAGAGAAAAAATTGCAGCCTGTTAATGCTGCTACTGTCGCATGTTTGTTGAATAGTGGATTAAGGCATTAAGCCACAAGAATGTGAGTTGGCTCCAAATGCCAGCATTTAGCGAAATGGCTGTTCCATTTCATGTCTATTTGCTTCTTTCTATTTACTTCTTTATGACGAAATGGTTGTTCAATTTCATTGTATTTCTTGGCTGAACAGTTAGACAGCAGTCAGCAGGGCATTGAAACATAGGAGAATTGTCACTCATTAGTGTTGCTTATTTAGCGAATAGTAAACCGAAACTGTACCGAAACCGTACCGAACCAAAATAATAAATACCGAACCGTACCGAAATACTTTGGTACGTTATTTGGTATACAATTGATAAACCGAATACCGAAATGCCGAACCGAAATTCTTAAATACCGAACTGAAATATCGAATGCCCACCCCTAATTAGGGGTCTTAAAGGGTTACTCTGGTGGTCACAAGGGAGACTGGTGGTGGAATGGAGAGGTGCAAGGAAAAGTGGAAACCAAGAAAGCGGCGTATCTGAAGCTAGCGGAAAGTGTAGACGAGGAGGAGAAGAGGGCGAATAAGAAGTAATATATGTTGACTAAGAAAGAGGCAATGCTAGCAGTTACGGCGGCCAAGACTATAGCTTTTAGTCGTTTGTATGAAGAACTCGAGGGCCGAGGTGGGGATCAGAGGTTGTTAAGGTTAGCTAAGGCGCGAGAAAAGAAGGCTCGTGACTTGGACCAAGTGAAGTGCATCAAGGACGACGAAGGACGAGTTTTGTTGGATGAGGGGCTTATCCATCGGAGATAGCAAACCTACTTCCATAGTCTCTTGAACGACAAGGGGATAGGAGCATTGTACTGGGTGATTTGGAACTCTCCGAGAGTCGTTGTGACTTTAGGTATTGTAGGCGGATTAGAGTTGATGAAGTTGAGGGGACTGTGCGTAAAATGAGCAGGGGCAAAGCGACCCAGACGGATGAAATCCCGATGGAGTTTTGGAAGAGTGCAGGCAAGGCGGGATTGGAGTGGCTCACTGGGTTATTTAATATCATTTTTAGAATGCAGAAAATGCCCGAAGAGTGGAGGTGGAGCACGATGGTTCCTGTATACAAGAACAAGGGTGATATCCAAAATTGCAATAACTATCGGGGTATCAAGCTGCTTAGCCATACTATGAAAGTTTGGGAGAGAGTGGTAGACTAAGGGTGAGGAGGAGTGTGTCTATTCCCGAAAACCAGTTCGGATTTATGCCGGAGCGTTGGACTACAGAAGCCAGTTAGGACATTGACGGAGCACTATAGGGAGAGGAAGAAGGACTTGCATATGGTGTTCGTAGACTTAGAAAAGGCGTACGATAAATTTCCGAGGGAGGTTTTGTGGAGATGTTTGGAGGCAAGAGGTGTACATGTTGCCTACGTTAGGGTGATTAAGGACATGTATGATGAAGCAAAGACCCGAGTGAGGACGGTGGGTGGGGACTCAGACCATTTTCCGATTATGATGGGGTTGCATCAAGGGTCGACACTCGGCCCTTTTTCATTTGCCCTGGCAATGGACGTACTGACGCGCCACATCCAAGGGGAGGTGCCGTGGTGCATGCTATTTGCAGATGATATTGTATTGATTGACGAGAAGCGAGGCGGTGTGAACGCGCAGTTAGAGGTATGGAGACAGATCCTGAAGTCTAAGGTTTAAAGTTGAGCAGGACCAAGACTGAATACTTGGAGTGTAAGTTTAGTGGTGAGACTCAAGGAGGGGAACGGGAGGTGAGGCTGGACTCGCAGGTCATCCCTGGGAGAGGAAGTTTTAAGTACCTTGGGTCTATTATTCAGGGAGATGGGGAGATTGATGAAGATGTCACACATCGTATTGGGGCGGGATGGATGAAATGGAGACTTGCTTCCGGCGTTCTGTGTGACAAGAAGGTGTCACTGAAACTTAAAGGTAAGTTCTACAGAGTGGTGGTCAAACCGACGATGTTGTATGGGGATGAGTGTTGGCCAGTCAAGACTCAAGATCGCTCATGTCCAGAAGATGAAGGTAGCAGAGATGAGGATGTTGGGATGGATGTGCGGGCACACCAGATTAGATAGGAGTAGGAATGAGGTTATTCTAGACAAGGCGGGTGTGGCCCCCTATTGATGACAAGATGCGGGAAGCGCGGCTTAGGTGGCTTGGTCATGTGAGGAGGAGCACAGACGCCCCGATGAGGAGGTGTGAGAGGTTGACATTGGAGGGTCTACGAAGAGATAGAGGTAGGCCAAAGAAGAGGTGGGGAGATATGATTAGGAAAGACATGGCGCAGCTTCAGCTGACCGAGGTCATAACCCTTGATAGGGAGGTATGGAGGTCGAGGATTAGGGTAATAGGGTAGGTAGTCTAGAGTGTTCATAACAGTAGTATTGGCACGCAGCCTCGCTTTTTGTTGGTAATAGGTTTTTATGACTAGCCGTTGTTTTCTTTCATTGTTGATCACCTTACTATCTTATTGTTTTTATTCTGCTTTTATATGTTTTTTGGTGTTGTCCCTTCTTATCTATATTTTCATTAATATGGTGCTTATGCTTTCCTGAGCTAAAGGTCTATTGAAAACAGCCCCTCTATCCTCTGCGTACACACTAGCCTTCCAGACTCCACAGTGTGGGATAATACAGAGTATGTTGTTGTATATATTTTGAAGAAAGAACCTATTAAATAATCTAATTTTCAAAATTAAAAATAATAATAATAATAATAATAATAATAATAATAATAATAATAATAATAATAATAATAATAATCAAGCATATAATTTAATGATGTTGAATAGTGAAAATGATGAGCAAATAAGAAAGATATTATGATATTGTGGTGAAGGGGTTTAAAAATTATTTTAGGTCTCACAAGTTCAAATCCTAGATATGGTACTTTAGTTTTCTTTTCAAAACCTCTTGTACGAATTTTTGGCTCCGCCAGTGAGAAATTATAACTTGAGGGGTCGTTTGGTATGAAGACAAGTTATGTTGGGATTAGTTATCATGGGATCGGTTATGTTGGGATTAGTTATCATGGGATCAATTATGTTGGGATTAGTTATCCCGATATTATTCCTTATTGACTATTTGGTATATTGTATTAGTCTTGGGATTGTCAATTTTACTGCTTTATCCTAGGATAACTTATCCTGGGATTACTATTCCATCATCTGGCAGGTACAAGTTATCCCGAAACTATTTTTAAGCTTGGGATAAACCTATCCCAGGAATAGTAACCAAACAAGGGATAAGGTGGTACTAAATTTTTATCCCATGATTATTTTTGCTTATTCATCATACCAAACAACCTCTAAAGTACTTAATATGTGTTATATTAAAATAACAATCATAAAAGTAAGAGTAGATTTTGTAGAAAGGAATATTCTATTTATTATTTTAATAAACTTAAGTTACAACTTATAATAAGACATGGGAAAATAGGTGATCAACCCCCGAAAAGGAAGGGAAAAAGAAAATGAAATAATGAGTGGAAAGGAGAGGAAACTTTACCTGATTTCGTTCATATAGCATGTGATTTTTGGTGAAATATTTGTAAGTATCTCGTCCTTTGACGAGCATCTCTTGATCAATCGGACCTATGATACCAATTACCCTAGCAAGCAGCGTGGCGGGAGAGTCATTCTGAAAAAGGACCTGCAAATATGGACAAAGACCTATAAAATCCCACTAGCATAAGACTTCATTATAAGTAAACTTGAATATTCAAATACTTTATTTCTATTCACTTATTCGTGAAGAGAGAAAGAGCTATAACTTAAATCATTTCTCATTAGCTTGAATTTTACTTTGCCAACGGGGTTTTTCTTTCCAATTAGGTAAAATTCACCAACTGGATATTAGTTGCTCGAGAAAGAATCAGCTCAGAGAAGTATCAAGAGTACAACTACATTATTACAATACACGTGTTATTTACTATTTATGCCTGTTAATGCAAGAGTTTTAATTGGCAAAAACATTTGTTGTCTAACAAAGGGAAAATTGATACTTGAATGAAATATAAAGTTCCCTAACGTGTTACCTAACTCCATCTAATTACATTAGGCATGCCACTGTCAGAATTTTGCTTTATCCACAAGGTCGTTAGTCCTTCTGAAGATTCTCAGTGGAAAAGCAGTATCAAAGCCAAAAGCTAATAAAATAAAACATACACAATTTACTCGTCCGGAGAAACATTCTTCTGCAAGTTGGATATTGGTTTCTTGTGATTCTAACATAAGATAGGATTAAGTAGCAAGATCGAAGAATGGTCTCTCTATGTCCTCCAAACAAACTTATTTCATATTAGGATTACATGCCAGCAGTTACTAGGGAGCTTCCGAAAGGTTTGGAGCCAATAGCAACTCCAAGACATAATTTCTTTAATAAGAAATCCCTGAGGGCCAAAGAGGCGCATGGTTCAAAACTCGGTAAATAAGGGGTCCGCTCTTGTACCCAGAAAAATATCAGGCTTTCATTTGCAGCAAGGTACAAACCCTTGGCGTGCGCCTAACCCATATATCACACGCTACACTCTTACCACTAGACCAAAGCTCTAGGGCTAACTTCATGAAATAATTATGTGTTGTATTAATTTGGATTTACCAAATTCATAAATCCAGAAGAAAGGGGAAGGGATCAAAATGAAAAAGTGAATAAGCACTTCAAGAACTACCCCAATGCATGGCATAATGGACAATAATATCCACTATAAATTCATACTGACAATAAATAAATAGAGATAACAATCAATATATAAAATGCATAACAAAAAAAACTTACATTGCCCGTGCAAAGTTCTGCCAAGATGCAGCCAAGGGACCAGACGTCTATCTTTTTATCATAAGGAAGCCCCAAAATAACTTCTGGTGCGCGGTAGGATCTTGACTGGACATAAGAACAAAGATGATCTGTTTCGAAGCAACTGCTACCCAGATCAATTACCTTCACCTCACATCTACTGTAGCTTTTCACCAATATGTTTTCAGGCTTCAAATCACAATGTATGAGCCCAAGGCCATGCAAGAACTGAAGAGCCTCTAAACACTGAATAGTGATTGACTGCACAACAAATTCATATGAAATTGACCACACAAGATATCATTAGCATCAAATCGCAATAAAATTTTGATCCAACAAACCTGCAGTCTTGGCATAGTAAAGTAGACTTCTCCACCAGATTCTCTGTTAAATTTATGGAACTCATACAGATTGGCCTTAAGTAGTTCACATACAATTAACAAATGTTCCTGAAAATAGACACAAAGATAAGTGTCAAATTTTCATGACCAAAAGTTTCATCTGCTTACATTAAGAATAATACATAAATGTAAAGTATACGATAGTATTGCACAAGCTCAAGAGGCACATCCAAGTGCACATCAACATTTCTTCCCACTTCGTATTTGATTACAGAAAATATTATTTTCAAACTGTCATGTTAAGATTGGCCGAAGATGTCAGCCACAACTATCAATTAGAATCAAGTGCAAAGCACAAGCTTTTCACTTAGTCAAGACTTTATCGACTTATTGATAAAAACTCACAAAATCAACTAGATGTTTAGACATGCTCACCTCTCTTGAGCAAGCAGCCAGGGTTGAGCTTACACATAACACAGTGTTGAAGTTTATTCTCAAGGTTCAGAACCATCTAGGTTTACAAGGACTTAGATGTTTTAGATAAGAGGGGAAAGTCAATAAGATGAGTTGGGTAAAATCATTTTAAGTCTGATGAGAAACTTATGAACTTAAGGTTACCTTCCTCAACATCCATACAAGCAAGAAGAACAATGTGGGAGAATGATGAAGAAAACTGTGCACACTCAAGATGTATCTTGCTGACTGTACTGGCAGATCTCTCTACATTGCTAAGTCATTTCGACGATGTAAAACTAAATTGAGATTTTTACAAAGTTTGTAAAGATACAAATTTTCACTTACTCGATAATAGAAGTAATCATACAACCGAAGTAGGTGGTACTTGTCGGCAGGATCATGCTTGTTGACAAATTTGAGAAGCTTTATTTCATCAAGACTCTGATCAAAAAAATCTTTGTTGTTCTTTATAATCTTCACACAGACATCCATGCCTGTATGAAGATCATGTGCTTGAACTGCTTTGCTGAATGCAGCAGATCCAAGATACTCAGTTACTTGATATCGTCCAGCTATAACTGAATTTAAAACAACCTGGAAATTTTTGTCCTCCTCAAATCCAGTTCTGAGTCAAAAAAAAGAACTTCATTAACCACCAAAAAGAAACCCCTCAAAGCCTGAAAAATAATAACTATTTGAGGTCAAGAAAATTCAAAGCATGTTCCCTTTTGTAAGAGAAAATCAGAACATAATAGGATGCATGAAGAGACAACTACGGAAAGAAAGCTTCTTACTTAGGCTGAAGAAACTTGCCAAGGTATATTTTGCAAAGGTAATACAGAAATAAATAAAAACATATATGTAAACATTTACTAGGGTAAAACATGTCTTGCTGAAGTCAAAGAAGATCAACTAGCTACAATCATATAGATCGACAGAACTATCTTTAAGTCACTAGCCTAGCATTCATCAACACTCAGTGCATAAGAAAACTATAATACATTAATCTGGAGTTCTTAGTAGCTAAATGGAAGTGGTCCAGTTACAGAGCTAAAGATCTCAGTTCCCACAGAATTGTTTAAAAGCCTCTCTGTCTTTCCTCAAGAATTGCAGTGAAATTCCTTCAAGTAAATACAGTTCAAGCCAAACATACAAATTTCTCCAGCTCCCTTGACAACTACTATTGATCTGAATCACCCAGTCTCCTTGAGCTAACAACCAGATCAAGCAATAATTTGGCTACAGACATGCACACGGAAAATAGAGAGAAGCATAGTTATGGTAAAATGTATGAATGTCGTCTCTATGAAGAGTCTAGCTTGTAATACAAGATTACATTATGTTCAGAATCCAACAACTTATCATGCACCGTAAAGGGCTTTGCATAGTTTATTTATTAAGCAAGCCTGTTTTTGTTAAGCATGAGATACAGTTTAATCAGGAAAGTATTTCCTAGCATTCTAACATAACCAGAACATAAGCTCACAAATCTGATATATCCCTTCGTATCCAGAAGAATATAAGACAATTAGATATCCTGATCCTTGTATAATGAAAACTGAATATTTATCTCAATTGAAACATACTAAATCCGCTTTTTGCCTTTTTTCAGCATAAATGGGGTTCAACAAGAATTACAACAACAAAAAAGGCAAATGTCACTTTTCGGATAATTTTGATGGTGCAGGGTCATAGGCTGACCTCACCGAGAATAATCAGCCTCCCTCTATCCCAGAAAAGAGGACCAATCTTAGATCACAATCTCATGCCAGCATTTACTCTTAGGGTGAGTTCATTTCCACCACCTTCAGCAATGGCTGCTTAACCTTACTATGTTGTCAAAGCAAATTAAGGGCTCAAAATTTCCGTCTCTACATAGAGCTCAAGATTTGTTAACAACAACAGCCCAGAGAGCTGTGGAAGAGCTTTTCATTGACTTACTACATCTTCACATCTCTAATAGAGTACATGTTTCTAATGTGTTCAGTAGACAGCCTCTCCCTTATCACAGTTTAAATCTATTCTTGATCAGTGTTGTGCTTAGAAACCCAACATAAGCAGTACCAAGATGAAGATTGTAATTGCAAATATGAAGCAGTTTCCTAAAGACTTGAAAATGGCAAACTACTGATTAAAATCAAATAACAGGCATCATTTCCCCTCTAATTCAAAAGAAGCAACAGGAGATTGAACATGCCTGTTTTTCCTATGCACAATCTTTAGTTCAAAAGTTTCAAATTCCTCTTCCTGCGCCTTGATCTGCTTTACTTGCTCCTGAACAGCAGCTGCTTCCTCATCCTCCAATGATGCTTCCAAATCTTCCTCTCTTGCACTGGCTTTTTGTGTGCCCTCTTCTTTCTTCACATGCTCCCGTTCTACATAACCATAATTTGAAAGAGATGAAGAGCTAGAATTTACTGATCCTGCAGCAATTTGGTTGCTTTCGTCTCTCGAGCTCTTAATAGGCGAGGACTCGTTGCTTTTGCGCCTCAAAGAGCCAAACATGTCATCATTTGCCATCAGACTGTCACGAGCCTCATCAGTTATAATGGTATTGCCCTTGCTTGACCATAAAGATTTACCTGAGCTTGTCTGAATCAACTGCCCATCTCTGGGAGGGGGAAATGAGAATCCCCCATGTAAGTGATTTGTTTGTACCGATCCTCCTTCATAAGTACCAGTGCCAAACTTGTCAAATCTCTGCTCAGCTGATCTCTCATCTCTGTTTCTTATCTCAGAATAAGGCTTATCTGAATCAGGGGGTATGTGTCTGGCCCCACCAATACTGGCATCATGATCGTGGAAATACTCTATATCCCCCTCACTACTCCCTCCAACGAAACTGTCACGCACCTCACTACCAATGTCAACAGTATCGCTGTGAATACCTACACCAATTGACCTAACTGAACCATGCTGATCACCGTCCATGCAAATATCATGCAATCGGGGCCTTTCACCCTTGTTCGAGGCTCTATCATTCCTTAACATGACAAGTTTATCTGTTTGAGCGACAAGTCCCTGCCAAACAGGCTCTGTGCACATCAAATTCATTTCTTCATCTGAAGGCCCAACTGGACCAACATTCTTTGATTGAGAATATCTCTGACCTGATAAGTAGGAATCTTCCTCTGCAAAAGATTGCTCATCATCGTCTCTGTTTTGCTCTATTTGAGGATCTGCAACACTCCCGTGCCCTGTTCCCTTCTCGTTATCACTAGGGTAATCAATTTCATGAGATAAAAACCAGGACTCATCTTCAATAGGTTGCCTTGTATAGCCAACATCGTCATCATCATCATATTCATCGGAATCCCAATATTCATTGGGGAAGTCAACACATTCACTCAATCCATCACCAATAGTTGCGAAACCAGAAACAAGTTCAGAAGTGTCCTCAGTAATGCCTTGACTTACAGACAACCAACTGCCTCCGCCGATCCTTTTTCCACCTGATGATCAGTTGAACAATGATATGATTAATCCACAAAGACATCAATCAGATTCACATAAAGAAGATAAAAAATATAACACAAGGATAAGTAGACAATATCATCAGGTCAAAACAATTTAGAAAACTACCTCAGAATCCATCTATTTTCTATGGCATTATTACTGGTTATTGTTATTGTTTTTCCATCTATTTTCTGTCTCTTACGATGCTGATATTATTTTTCTGTATTGTTGTCACTGATCTATCGTTTATTTTCGTCTTCTTGAGCCGAGGATTTTTTGGAAACAACCTCTCTACCCCTCCGGGATAGGGATAAGGTCTGCGTACACTCTACCCTCCCCAGACCACACTTGTGGAATTTTACTGGGTTGTTGTTGTTGTTGTACCTCAGAATCCAAAATTGAGAAAGAGTGGATAACCAAGTTTGTTTCGTCCCAAAAGTCTATGAGTAACTTACATTCAAGAGCTCCCTTTCGATTTTCTTTATTTGGGGACGACCATCACAAACAAGATTTAGGATGTTCCGTCTACCACATATCAATATAGGACAGGATAAGCTAATAGCCAAAAACCCTCCCCTTGCACCAATCATCGGATACGATACTACGATAATGATTAAGCAACTTAGGTAACTCGTTTAATACTCCTCCATCTGTTTTGCAGTCATAGAATACAGAGGTTGTCGGTACTAAACAAAAATTCAAAAGGTTAATGACTTGGAAGTTTATTTTATTCCCTCTAGGTGGCATCTTCTTTCCTAATCCAAACAGCACTTTCAGGGCCTCATCATGTATCATCTCATTCAATTTGTGAGATCACAAAATTTTCCTTCGAGAAGTTCAGAGCCATTTATTAATTTTTGTATGTTCAAAGAATGAGCTAACTTTTTGTCTAAGAGTACAAGATAAAAGTAGTCATTAGAGAGCAAACCTGAATTGCTAAGTTCTTGTCCAATAGGAACATCTAGAAATGAACCTATGACATATGTATTGTCACCGTCTGTAATCTTTGAGCAAGGTCCATCTCGTTCAAACTTTTCCTCCCAATGAATATTGAAGGACTTCTCTTCTGACTTGATTCTAACAGGTGGCAACCTGGGTAGTTCTTCTTTCTGACTCTCAGATATAAGCGAAAAGCCTAAGCTGCTGAAATCTTTTGGTTCGCGTCCTGGAATCTTCCCCAGATACAAAGCTCTTCCCACCTCATCCACTTGCTCTTTAATTGTACTCCTAACGTCGTTACCTTTTGTTATGCTTTTACCTACTTTGTTACCACCAGAACCAAAGTTTTGATCATAACTTGTCGAAACATCTCCTTTAGAGAATGGAATAGCAGTTTTGGCCGAGCAATCTTTCCAAGGCTCGGATGAAGAGTTAGTCGATTCAGGACTTTTTGACCTAGGGTTACTAATAATTACATTGTTGGATGCCCCATTTAGTTTAATCTGATGATTGCCCTCTTTGAGTTCACTATTTTGACTCCTTTCATTCTCTGGTTCCACATTGTCTTTGCTGGTATTTCCAGGCCACGACGTTCTCCTTTCACCTGAAAAACTGACATCTTCTCCAGAATTTTCATTAGCCTTACCACTATCAAAGACCTCAGACGAATTTAACCGCAACTTCCCACTATGCACCAAACCTGAAAAGTCCTTGGTAGCACTTGTGCGACCATTGTTCTGATAAGACACAAGAGAACCATTGGGATTGTAGTTCCACGAGTACATATCAATCGCACTATCCTCGGCATTGTTGCAAACACTCAATGTTTTGTTGTTTGTCCCAACAGATTCATTATGTTCCTTCTTCTTGCCAACATAAGCAACATTTTTCAAGTTACATTCTGTGCCATTTCTCCCAATCCCACACTCTATCTCCTTAACAATAAGCTCTTTTGGAATTTCGCCATTGCTCCTCAAACTTGTCTCCTTGAAAACCTCCCCACCATTTCGACAGGTCATACCAAGAATCTCCAAAGACACTTTTCCTCCATTTGCTTCTTCTAATGATCTGCTGAGCTCTTTATCCTCTAGCGTAAGCTTCTGAACCACACCATTCAGATCAGAACATTTATTCAGCTCACCACGCAATGCAGCCTCGGCCCTTGTAAATTTATTCTTTCGCAGAAATTCCAGTATCGCATCTAAAGATGTCGAGTCAGCCATCGATACAACGGAGAACTCGAAAATCTTCAAATATTCAACTGCTATAAACAATATTCAACCCAACCTGAAAAAAAAAAAAAGGCAAACAATAATATAAAGCCTATTACAAGAAGTGCACAACAAGTCAGCTTTAAACACTATATAAAACTTGATAACAGATGCAGAGTTAAGAAAATACAATGTCAAATGTGGTCCAACTTAGGTGTTGATTGACTGAAAAGTACAGATTACCCATATTGTCCTATATGCTGTTTGGCTCCAGATAACAGAGGATTGCATAATCACAAGAAAGCAATAAATTTCAAGAGACCAAAATACTGAAACAGAAAGCTGAACCTAAGTTGTAGTAACAGACACAACTACAAGAGTAAAAGCTGAATGAAAACCAAGCACCTTAAAAACCCTAGCTAGATTTTCCACACACCCAATTCAAAGATCTCAACTTTAATGATTAAAGAGTTCAAAAAGATTCTACTTTTACTGATTAAGAAAAGTAAATAAAAAAAAGGGTACAGAGAAGAATAAGGACACCAAAAATTGAAAAGGGTTAAAAATGGAAAGAACCTGAAAACGGAAAGAATGAAAAAGAGTGAAAATGGAAACTCACGGATCGAAGCTACGATATACTTGCTGGTAAACAAAAAATATCTCAATTGATAACATCGTCAACAAACATCACATTCAGCTGAGACAAAGCTGGATATGGATGCTTCCATTTACGTTACAACAAAATGGGAGCATTTTGATTTTGAATTTTCCTTTTTTCTTTTTTCCTTCTTTTAGGCTCTTGAGTATTTTATTTTTTTTCCTGTTGTTCTTTGGTGTTCTCCAATGCGAAGTGATCTTTTGGCTTGGCTAAGAAAATATTTCAGGTCTGGCATGGGGACATGGTTGTCGAATTAAGCATTATACTTTTAATGGTATTGTTACTATAAAAGATAATTAGTAATTTCTTACTACTACATACTACAGTAATATTTTCTTAAAATACTTTTTATTAAAAACGATAATTTTATCCTATTTTACACTGCAACTTTTAACTTTTAAGTATAAAGTATGAATAATTTCACTCCGAAACGATTAAGTAATTGAAATGTTTAAAATCTTACAAATTAAACGTGTCGACATTCTTACTCTAAACCTGATCCTTCTTTTACTAACAAACAGAAATAAAAGTTTTAAAATACCCAATCGAACCCCGACCATATCGATCCTTGCCAAAAATAAATCTTGGACCTAATTCAAATTTAAAGTTAGCTCATGAGATGATCATTGTCCAAGATTATATAAAAAGTCCAACAAACCCTCTCCCTCCCTTGCACGCCTAGGACTAGACATCCGAGCATGGATAATATAATATGAGGATCCAACATTGTATAAATAATTAATTGGAATGGGTCTAGCCCTAATATAATATTAAAGAAATATACCTTGGGCCAAACTCAACTCCAGAAGTTAGCTCATGATATGAAGATTGTCCAATACCATATAAAGAATCCAAATTCCCAGCCCACAATGGATGTGGAAACTAAACAACCCTCCATCTCACCCTCCACACCAACCGTTCATTAGTTGGACTTCAGCACAATCCAATTGGACGAGGATTTGACTTATATTGAGGAGCCGGTGGCTATCTTGGACAGACAGGTCCGGAAGTTGAGATCAAAGAATATTGCTTCAATTAAGGTTCAATGGAGGGGCCATCCGGTCGAAGAGGTGACTTGGGAGACCGAGCACGACGTGCGGAGTCGTTATCCTCATCTATTCACCACTTCAGGTATGTCCTTATGCACGCTCGAGGACGAACGTTTGTTTTAAAAGGGGGGAGAATGTAACGACCCAACAGGTCGTTTTGCGTAATTGCGCCCCGTTGCCCCTTTTTATGCTTCACACATGTGTGTTTATGAATTTATGACTTGCGGGATTAGTTAGTTTTGTTCCGGGAAGCTTTCGGGTTAATTCGGACCTCTTGATTCTTGACTTAGAAGTTTCAATTAGAAAATATTGACGAAACTTTGACTTTTATGAAAACGAACCCGGACGGGTGTTTTGATGGCTCCAATAGCTTTGTATCGTGATTTCAAACTTGTGCGTCTGCCCGGAATTGATTTTGGAAGTCTGTAGGTTGATTTGTATTGATTTACCAAAATTTGGCAATTTGAAGTTGAAAAGTTTGACCGTAGGTTGCCTTTTAGCTATCGAGTTCGGAACTCGATTTTGGGACTTCGAATAGGTCCGTTATGGTATTTGGAACTTGTCTACAAAATTTGTTGTTGTTTGGAGTTGATTTGATAGGATTCAGACGTTTAGTTGTAATTTTAGAAATTCTTGAACTTTACTTTGAAATTCATGTATTTTAGTGTTCGATTCGTAGTTTTATATGTTATTTTTGTGTTTTGATCGTGCGAGCAAGTTCGTATGAATGTTTTTAGACTTATGTGGATGTTTGGTTTGGAGTCCCGAGGGCTTGGATGAGTTTCAGACATGTATCGGAATAGTTTTGAACTAAAAATGTGTTGCCGGTGTGCTGGTGCTTAGTTATCGCAATTGTGAGCACCAGCCTCGCAATTGTGAAGGTGACAGTAGGGGGCAGATGTCGCAAGTGAGACCACCCCTTCGCATTTGCGAAGTTAGCAGGATTTTGGTCTAGTTCGCAATTGCGAATATTTGTTTGCTTTTGCAAGTTTCCAGCTTCGCAATTGTGATGCCTTATATTTGATCCCGAGTCACCAGCAAAATACATACCCGATCAGTCAAAAACCTTCCATTTGATCACATCCAGGAGAAAATCACAATACGCAACATGCTCCCCACGCCGGTAGGAAATATCCATCTCAAACTGTGGTAGAAACCATCGAGAGCTCTTCGAAACACATTTGCACATAACCAAGCCATTAGAACTGAATCTCTCTAACTCAACCAAGCCACGCAGGTCGCCAAACCCAAGAGTATTGCCCCAAAATACCTGTAGAGACTCACCATATCATAAGTACCCAAAGAACCGATCATATCCATTACCGTGTTGGTCCAACCTACTACCAAACAATCCTATTTCTCCGAGTCCCTTATGAATTGCCCTCAAGTTGACATTTCTCCTTGCCAGAACACCACGATCTTTACCCAAAGCTCACCACAAGAGATCCTATCATAAAACAACGCCGCCCTAAGGCCCATAAGCTATTGTATTCCCTCTTAAACACCCCAAAAGTACCATAATCGAGACACCCACTCTGTAGAGACTTTATGTAAATCTAAAGTCATTGCCTTCACCCTCCTGGTACTGAAATGTAGAATCTATAATGATATAGAAATACTGCGAGTCCCGGCACCATCCAAGGCAAATCTCATATCTTAGCTCTATACAAATCCGAAAAATTCTCAATTGTCACATATAAATCTTGAGTCCATTAGAACCTTCTCGAGAGTGATCCACCTTATTCAAATCTCAAATGAATCGCCCAAACGAGCCGACAATCTGCGCCCCATTAGCACACCAGCACCCAAAGAAGTAATCCACACCTCTAAGCAACCGAGCGAATCCCTTTTCTTAGTACATTACATTCATCATGAATAACAACCCTAAACCATTCCCAAGACTTCCATATCCATAAGGTGCAATACATCATGCATCTAGAAATTCCTTACTCAGGTAATCCTCAAAACCAACCTCTACGAGTCATAACCGATCCACAAGTATGCCTCAGACCGAAACTAATATAACACATAATCATGCAATCAAATCGCCGATGGCAAACTCCCCCACTTGGCTCAAAGTCATAGAAAAAAACACCCGATAACTCACAGTACCCATACTCTATTACTGCCATAATCCCGCCGTGAGATTCAACTAAATTCTTCACAAGCTCACGGAACCCAAATCATAAAATACCTCAAATCACCTGCTAAGCTCGCAGTCGTCCTCGTGACAATTGTCGCGCCCCGTTTTCTCACGAAAGCAGGTTTTCGACGTGTGACAACTCTTTTAAATGAAGGTATTAAAAGAGAAGATTCGCCACCTAAATTTTTAAGGTGCTTTAGGGAACCTTTTGCAAATAACTCTGTTTGACTAGTCAACGCCACCAAAGATCGGGTAAGGGCTCAAATTACCTCAAAGAGAAGGTGTTACGCCCTTTTCGAGGTCCACAACTGTGGGTCCCGACCGAATTTTAAAACTATATGGATTATGTAATTAGACTAGGTGATCAAACAAACAAAGGGAAATATAGAAGTCGAAGAGTCTTATCATAACACATTGTGAATTGGTACAAATCTTTAATGATTACAAGGTTACAAATACATTGGTCTATGTTAAATGTCTAAGTGTAAATAACAAGTATATAAAGAAAGGGGGAGGGTCCTAAGTTTTTTAGCCTAAAGGATCACCCCGTGCAACATAAATAATACTTCGCAACTCCCTTAAGGTAGGGGGTTGCTCATATTATTCAGTGGGCACAAACTATCATCTCCTGCTACCCTATTACTATGTTGAAGTTGTTACTTAAAGACGCTCTAGTTCAATTCTAAACTATATCCTATGCGTGCACTACCTGTCCCATACCTGTGGTCCAGAAGGCTTTGGACCTACTATTTGGGTGGTTCTAGACTTTACTTAGGGTGCTCAAAATGATAAAACTAGGTGCACATGTAAAAACAGGTAGGACTACACATAAGGACAATGAATGGCTCAAGTTAGCCTCCACACATAAGCAACAAAAGTACACTGATAGATTTCACATTAGGCAGTAGGCAGTTTCAGAATCGAGGTGTTGTTTAAAACCTATAGGCATGGTTTCTAAGTGACCGCACAGTCTAAGAATATCTCATGGGAAGTGCTACTATTCGAATTATCTAGATTACACATTACAAGTTATGAAAACCTATAGACATGATCTCTAAGTGATTTGCGTAATGAGGCAGTGAAAGCCATTGGAAAACTCAGAATTATTAGTGTTTGATCCTATTGGCATGCTTTCTAAGCGAGTAGCTATATTTATAGCCAGGTTCTCTAATAGTTGGTATTTGAACGCAGATTTATTGTGCTTATTCCTATAGGCATGTTATCCAGGTGGGCAGAGTAATAAGACAACAGACGCAGTCAATTAGTTAATCAATTAAAGCCCTATAGACATGGTATCTAGATGAGTATTAGCAAAGGCATATATTAATACGATCCTATAGGCATGCTATCTAATAAACACACTGCAATTGCACAAATTGAGCGAATAGTTATTGATGCTTGATTCCTATAGGCATGCTATCTAATAACGCATAAGAGTAGACATGTGAACAAGTAAAGCACTTAAACTAATGCTTATGATAATGCGTGGGCATTAGACAAGTTGAGTAAGTGAAGTGTTTGAATTCCTATAGGCATGATCTCTGTTAGTGTATAGAAATAGGCACGTCAAACAAAGTAGCAAATAAGCATGTAGACCCTATAAGCATGTTATCTACCCATTCATGTGAAACTTAAAGCATCCCAACCCCTTTTTATTAACTTCCCATCATTCGTTATTACAAGTTATTACAGACCATATTGAATGATTACTGACCCAAATATGAATACAGAATAACCCAGTAGCACATCTGGGCCTTCAAACAGGCGTAGAACTTCATATGGACTGCAGGTCCAAACTCCAAATGCAGACAGCGCATCCCAGACTTCCAGTACCACGGCAGGTCCAACATACCAGGCCCAAATGAATGACTTACTTTACCCAAATGGATGCCAAGTTCAGCCATACAAGCGACAAACTAGTTATAGAATTTAACTAGACATCTTAGGCACTTAATTCTTAAAGCTATAGCTAACATCATCTCCAGTTAAGATATATAAACAGCACTAGGCTAGATTGAAGGCACACAAGATACGT